CCAATGCTCTCCAGGTGTGCTACCAGTCTTAGCCTAATTATTCTTTCCAGTATTTTACAGGGGATGCTTGTCAGTGCAACCCGTTCTCGCAAATTCGTAAAGTCAATATTGACTTATTAACTACGTGCATAGGTGATATACTAAACATAATAGATACCCTTAAAAAGATTCATAGAAAACACCGACCTTACCTAACCTTGTTAGTATCTTAAGATAAGCATCTTATTGCTTCGTAATTACAATTATTACTTAACCTATACCTATTATAGGTTAGGTAATAATTGTAATTACGAAGCAATAAGATGCTTATCTTAACATACTAAGTAGGTCAGGTAAGGTCGGTGTTTTCTATGAATCTTTTTAAGGGTATCTATTATGTTAAGTATGTCACCTATGCACATATATAATAAGTCAATATTGACTTATTAAATTTGCGAGAACGGGTTGGTCAGTGATACAGATCTATAGTTAAGTGCCTCCTCCCTATCACCTTTCTTGAAAATCGGTACAACATTTGCCCTCTTCCAGCAATTGGGCAATTTTCCCGACATAAGTGATTCATTCAAGATCATTGACAGAGGCACGCTGAGGGCCTGCGCTGCCTCTTTTAGTATCCACGGTGATACTTTGTCTGGTCCAACCGCTTTAGTTGCATCCAGTGTTGTCAACTGTTTCATTACCTCCTCTGCTGTCACCTCTATATCTGATAGTCTTTCATCTATGGTAATCTCTTCTAACAATGGGAGCTGCTCAGGCTCGGTAGTGAACACTCCATGGAAACTGGCATTCAGTGCCTCGCAGATTTCCTTGTCACTTTCAGTATATGTCCCCTCTGTCTTCCTTAGTCTTGTCACTTGGTCGTTCACCGACATTTTTCTTCTTATATGACTGTGTAGTAACTTAGGTTGTTTTTTCGCTTTGATTGCAATATCGTTCTCATAGTCCCTTTCCGATGTTCGTCTTATGTTAATGTAATCGTTCCTAGCTCTGTTGTATCTGCTTCTGTTGTCCTCTGTCCTTTGTCTTCTGTACTTCCTCCACTCCCGCCTGCTGGCCATTTTTGCTTCCTGACACTGTCTATTAAACCATGGGTTATTATATTCCCTCTTATTTTTTCCCTTTACTGTTGGTATAAATCTCTCTCCAGCCTCCTGGCATTTCTGTATGACTAGGTCCATCATATTTTGGACTGTTTTTCCTCTAATTTCTTCCTCCCACTGCACTTCTCCCAGATAGTCCCTTATCCTCCTGTAGTCCCCTTTCCTGTAGTCAACTCTTCTTTCACAGACCTCTTGTCCCTTGGTCACAAGTTTGAGTGTGTGTGTGTGTGTGTGTGTGTGTGTGTGTGTGTGTGTGTGTGTGTGTGTGTGTGTGTGTGTGTGTGTGTGTGTGTGTGTTTACTAGTTGTGTTTACTAGTTGTGTTTTTGCGGGGGTTGAGCTTTGCTCTTTCGGCCCGCCTCTCAACTGTCAATCAACTGTTTACTAACTACTTTCTTTTTTTTTCCCACACCACACACACCCCAGGAAGCAGCCCGTGACAGCTGACTAACTCCCAGGTACCTATTTACTGCTAGGTAACAGGGGCACTTAGGGTGAAAGAAACTTTGCCCATTTGTTTCTGCCTCGTGCGGGAATCGAACCCGCGCCACAGAATTACGAGTCCTGCGCGCTATCCAACAGGCTACGAGGCTCCTATGTGTGTGTGTGTGTGTGTGTGTGTGTGTGTGTGTGTGTGTGTGTGTGTGTGTGTGTGTGTGTGTGTGTGTGTGTGTGTGTTACAATTAGGATTAAGGACTTGCCCGAAACGCTATGCTTGCTAGTGTCTAAACTAGAATGTAAGAACTCTTGTATATATATATATATATATATATATATATATATATATATATATATATATATATATATATATATATATATATATATATATATATATATTAATAAATAAATAACAAATCTAAAAAATTATTTGGTGTTAAGTGAAGGTAGTGATGAGGTGTAAGGACTGTGGGGCAGAGGTGTGAAGGGCAGATGAAATTGTTAATGTAATAATCTCCGATGCAGGTCTGATAAAGACCTTTTGTGCCCTCTGTAATCCTTTTTGCGCTACCGCTCACAGGATGATGGGATGGGGCGCACAATAAACTAGCTGCCTCCGGCGGCAACACATCAAACCGTCTCGCATTACCCGGGATTCGAACTCGGGTACAATTGGCAGCACACGCGAGTGTACAATCAAACGCTCAACCCAAAAGAGTGTGTGTGTGTATGGTTGTGTGGTAGGAGGGAGGGGGGGCTGCCTCCCCCCCCTCTCTCTCCTGGGGGGGGGGGCTGCCTCCCCCCCTCTCTCCTGGGGGGGGGGGGCTGCCTCCCCCCTCTCTCCTGGGGGGGGGGGGGGTGGTTGTAAACACTTGGGCATGAATGACCTGTGTAAACGTGATTGTCTTATTTACAAGAGGTGAACACGTTGTAAAATGTTTAGTTTTAGACTCGCTCTCTAATTCATGGGTTCTCATTTGCAGCTGTTGTATGATCCATACAGCAGCGTTGTATACTTCATGCAGTATGCTGTATACATATTGTGTGTTTATGGTGTTTTTTTTTTTTGTTTTATATGTATAGGCTCCTTTTAGAATATGCGTACAGTCGTCGTTAATTTATTTAAACGCATTGAATTCATATGTATACACATGCATGATTTATGTGTTCACATGTACATGATCTGTGTATACACACATGCATGATATGCGTATACACATAAATGATTTGTGTATACATATACATGATCTGTGTATACACATGATTAATATATACACATACATGATTTATGTATACTGACATCGGTGTATAGAAGAGCCTCACAGGCCATACGATCATACACTGGGACGTGTTGTATTATGTATAATCCTCCGCCCTGTGTGGCAGTGGATATGAGCAGACTTAATAAGACCAAATAAGACCAAATAAGACCAGATAAGACCAAATAAGACCTAATTACTCAGACAAATCGAAATTTTATATTTTGTCAATAAAGATGTCAATAATTATAACTCAATTAATTTTGTCAGTCAATAAAATACCCGCGGCTCTTATTACTACACAAAACCTAATCCGTGATCAGTTTTTGTTAAAAAAAATAGTTTTATTCTGAATTTAATTCACATTCTGAGGCCTAACATGTCCTCCAGAGTCTTACCATTCTACCCATCCCCATTCCCCTCCATCCCCTCCCCTTCCATCCCCTCCCCTTCCCTCCCCTTCCATCCCCTCCCCTTCCATCCCCTTCCATCCCCTCCCCTTCCATCCCCTTCCATCCCCTCCCCTCCCCCCTTCCACAGCTGGTGGCCCAAAAGATTGTATCTGCTCAATGAAAATCAAACACAACAAAACATAATCCCAAGATGAAATGCAGTCCAGCAGCCCCTCCCCCCCCCCTGTAAAAAAAAGTCTAAACGTGTACAAACATGTGTGTGTATATATGCGAATGGTACACATTACTCGCCTATAGACATTCATATGTGCTGAAATTCACGTGAAGAACCTCTTACACACACACGTCTAGCTGACAAAGGTGAGCACAATTAGTTTAGCTGGTGTCAGCAAGGCGGACAGCCCGCCTAGCTGGTGTCAGCAAGGTGGACAGCCCGCCTAGCTAGTGTCAGCAAGGCGGACAGCCCGCCTAGCTGGTATCAGCAAGGCGGACAGCCCGCCTAGCTGGTGTCAGCAAGGTGGACAGCCCGCCTAGCTAGTGTCAGCAAGGCGGACAGCCCGCCTAGCTAGTGTCAGCAAGGTGGACACCCCGCCTAGCTAGTGTCAGCAAGGCGGACAGCCCGCCTAGCTAGTGTCAGCAAGGCGGACAGCCCGCCTAGCTAGTGTCAGCAAGGCGGACACCCCGCCTAGCTAGTGTCAGCAAGGCGGACACCCCGCCTAGCTAGTGTCAGCAAGGCGGACAGCCCGCCTAGCTAGTGTCAGCAAGGCGGACACCCCGCCTAGCTGGTGTCAGCAAGGCGGACAGCCCGCCTAGCTAGTGTCAGCAAGGCGGACACCCCGCCTAGCTAGTGTCAGCAAGGCGGACAGCCCGCCTAGCTGGTGTCAGCAAGGCGGACAGCCCGCCTAGCTGGTGTCAGCAAGGCGGACAGCCCGCCTAGCTAGTGTCAGCAAGGCGGACACCCCGCCTAGCTAGTGTCAGCAAGGCGGACAGCCCGCCTAGCTAGTGTCAGCAAGGCGGACAGCCCGCCTAGCTGGTATCAGCAAGGCGGACAGCCCGCCTAGCTGGTGTCAGCAAGGCGGACAGCCCGCCTAGCTAGTGTCAGCAAGGCGGACAGCCCGCCTAGCAGCAAGGCGGACAGCCCGCCTAGCTAGGTGTCAGCAAGGCGGACAGCCCGCCTAGCTAGTGTGTCAGCAAGGCGGACAGCCCGCCTAGCTAGGTCAGCAAGGCGGACAGCCCGCCTAGCAGCAAGGCGGACAGCCCGCCTAGCTGGTGTCAGCAAGGCGGACAGCCCGCCTAGCTGGTGTCAGCAATGCGGACAGCCCGCCTAGCTGGTGTCAGCAAGGCGGACAGCCCGCCTAGCTGGTGTCAGCAAGGCGGACAGCCCGCCTAGCTGTCAGCAAGGCGGACAGCCCGCCTGTCAGCAAGGCGGACAGCCCGCCTAGCTGGTGTCAGCAAGGCGGACAGCCCGCCTAGCTGGTGTCAGCAAGGCGGACAGCCCGCCTAGCTGGTGTCAGCAAGGCGGACAGCCCGCCTAGCCAGTGTCAGCAAGGCGGACAGCCCGCCTAGCTGGTGTCAGCAAGGCGGACAGCCCGCCTAGCTGGTGTCAGCAAGGCGGACAGCCCGCCTAGCTGGTGTCAGCAAGGCGGACAGCCCGCCTAGCTGGTGTCAGCAAGGCGGACAGCCCGCCTGGTGTCAGCAAGGCGGACAGCCCGCCTGGTGTCAGCAAGGCGGACAGACCGCCTGGTGTCAGCAAGAGAACTATGCTAATGTTTTGATTTCTTTCTCTTGCAGGGTCGTGAGCAGCCAGGAGCAGACTCTAAGGTATGTGGCCGGTGTTTATACTCGTGTTGGCCATGTTGCAGGTGTTGGTGGAGGTGTCGGCCATGTTGCAGGTGTTGGTGGAGGTGTTGGCCATGTTGCAGGTGTTGGTGGAGGTGTTGGCCATGTTGCAGGTGTTGGTGGAGGTGTTGGCCATGTTGCAGGTGTTGGTGGAGGTGTTGGCCATGTTGCAGGTGTTGGTGGAGGTGTTGGCCAGGTTGCAGGTGTCGGTGGAGGTGTTGGCCATGTTGCAGGTGTTGAACAGCGTGCCCGCAAGAACGCGTGCTACCCAAAGCTTGCCAGTATTACAGAAGTACTGAAGAACTATGATATATTTACTCACTATGATGTTGGTGCTGAATGTAGAACATGAAAAAAACATATTTTTACTCTCAGATAATATCATTTTATAACGAAATTGGGTTCATCTAATTACCCCACAGCCATAATATTGTCGCTCGGATCGTCGACTTACTGTGGCGTTAACCCGCCTCTTAGATTCGACTAATTTCGTTATAAAATGTTAATATTTCAGTGGAAAAATATGTTATTGGTGGGTTCTACAAAGTGAAACAATATTTATATATACAAAGCACACTCGTCTATATACAAAACATATTCACAGTGTCTTCTACCACAGACGTGGCCACACATTTACAATGCTAGCCAGCATATATACATTTTCTTTTGTCCTCCATGGACAGGGTTAGAGATGTGTTAAACATATAGTTCAGGGATTTATTGAACACTCAACCACAGAAGGTGATTACTGATTCAACCACAGAAGGTGATTACTGATTCAACCACAGAAGGTGATTACTGATTCAACCACAGAAGGTGATTACTGATTCAACCACAGAAGGTGATTACTGATTCAACCACAGAAGGTGATTACTGATTCAACCACAGAAGGTGATTACTGATTCAACCACAGAAGGTGATTACTGATTCAACCACAGAAGGTGATTACTGATTCAACCACAGAAGGTGATTACTGATTCAACCACAGAAGGTGATTACTGATTCAACCACAGAAGGTGATTACTGATTCAACCACAGAAGGTGATTACTGATTCAACCACAGAAGGTGATTACTGATTCAACCACAGAAGGTAATTAGCATTTTAAAATGCTAATCTAACCTTTAAACATAAATGCCCAGATTTACGTCTGTGCTACATAAACAGTGTTCGAGGTGTCTTTTACAGTGTCATTAATGTGCGTTTACAAAGGTGAAATACAATGCTGAACAGCTTCCACATGCCCTGTATACAAATACACACACATACATATATATACACATATACCAACACATATCCACATATATATATATATACACATACACCTATGTCCCTCCTACTTTGACAGGGTAAGATAGCTTCTATAGAAACTAGTGTGATACTAAACACTTTACCACTGAAGGTGATTAAGATGCCTTTACAAGCTCAGGTTATAGGTACATGCATTGTATAACAGATGTATTTGATATTGTATTGGTACAATATATTGTATAACTGTGTCTTGCAGTGCGTGGCTGGTGTAGGACACAGCTAAGTCTTGTAGTGTGACACAGCGTGGCTAGTGTGACACAGCGTGGCTGGTGTAGGACACATCTGTGTCTTGCAGTGTGACACATCTGTGTCTTGCAGTGTGACACAGCGTGGCTAGTGTGACACAGCGTGGCTGGTGTAGGACACAGCTAAGTCTTGTAGTGTGACACAGCGTGGCTGGTGTAGGACACAGCTAAGTCTTGTAGTGTGACACAGCTAAGTCTCGCAGTGTGGCACAGCGTGGCATTCCCCCAACATTACCAACTTATCACACAAAAAAGGCGTCACAGACATCGTTAAACAGGTGAGCGCTGACCTGTAATTCCGGTCAATTATCTATAGATAATACCCGGACGGCTGGTGTCATAATTACTATATACGTTATATTTCAGTGTTGTGTTTATTGGATTATATATTACTCGATTATGATTGGTTGGCTTGTTATTATCTGGATTGGGAGCCCTTGTCGCGCACTTTCTTACGTGATTGGTTGTTGTTTAATAACTGTGACTTGATAACCGCTTCTTGCTCGCAGGTGTGTAGGCCCGTCAGGTGTGCAGGCCCGTCAGGTGTGCTGGCCCGTAAGGTGTGCTGGCCCGTCAGGTGTGGAGGCTGTCATGTACTCGCCTATTTGTACTCGCCTAGTTGTGCTTGCTGAGGTTGAGCTCTCGCTCTTTGGTCCCGCCTCTCAACTGTCAATCAACAGGTGTACAGGTTCCTGAGCCTGCTGGGCTCTATCATATCTACACTTGAAACTGTGTATGGAGTCAGCCTCCACCACATCACTGCCTAATGCATTCCATTTGTCAACCACTCTGACACTAAAAAAGTTCCTTCTAATATCTCTGTGGCTCATTTGGGCACTCAGTTTCCACCTGTGTCCCCTAGTGCGTGTTCCCCTTGTGTTAATAGCCTGTCTTTATCAACCCTATCAATTCCCTTGAAAATCTTGAATGTGGTGATCATGTCCCCCCCTAACTCTTCTGTCTTCCAGCGAAGTGAGGTTTAATTCCCGTAGTCTCTCCTCGTAGCTCATACCTTTCAGCTCGGGTACTAGTCTGGTGGTAAACCTTTGAACCTTTTCCAGTTTAGTCTTATCCTTGACTAGATATGGACTCCATGCTGGGGCTGCATACTCCAGGATTGGTCTGACATATGTGGTATACAAAGATCTGAATGATTCTTTACACAAGTTTCTGAATGCCGTTCGTATGTTGGCCAGCCTGGCATATGCCGCTGACGTTATCCTCTTGATATGCAACCCGTTCTCGCAAATTTAATAAGTCAATATTGACTTATTAAATATGTGCATAGGTGACATACTTAACATAATAGATACCCTTAAAAAGATTCATAGAAAACACCGACCTTACCTAACCTTGTTAGTATCTTAAGATAAGCATCTTATTGCTTCGTAATTACAATTATTACCTAACCTATAATAGGTATAGGTTAAGTAATAATCGTAATTACAATTATTACCTAACCTATAATAGGTATAGGTTAAGTAATAATCGTAATTACAATTATTACCTAACCTATAATAGGTATAGGTTAAGTAATAATCGTAATTACAATTATTACCTAACCTATAATAGGTATAGGTTAAGTAATAATTGTAATTACGAAGTAATAAGATGCTTATCTTAAGATACTAACAAGGTTAGGTAAGGTCGGTGTTTTCTATGAATCTTTTTAGGGGTATCTATTATGTTTAGTATATCACCTATGCACGTAGTTAATAAGTCAATATTGACTTTACGAATTTGCGAGAACGGGTTGGAGCTTCAGGGGACAGGTCTGGCGTGATATCAACCCCCAGGTCTTTCTCTCTCTCTCTGACTCTTGAAGTATCTCACCTCCCAGATAATACCTCGTAACTGGTCTCCTGCTCCCTACACCTATCTTCATTACATTACATTTGCTTGGGTTAAAATCTAACATCCATTTGTTCGACCATTCCTGCAGCTTGTCCAGGTCTTCTTGAAGCCTCAAGCAGTCGTCCTCTGTCTTAATCCTTCTCATAATTTTGGCGTCGTCAGCAAACATTGAGAGGAATGAGTCTATAGCATCTGGGAGATCATTTACGTATAACAGAAACAGGATAGGTCCGAGTACAGAGCCCTGTGGTTCAACTGTATGTGATGAGGCTGTCAAGTGTTCACGCTGACATGTGTGGAGGCTGTCAAGTGTTGAGGCTGTTATGTGTGGAGGCTGTCAAGTGTGGAGGCTGTCAAGTGTGGAGGCTGTCAAGTGTGGAGGCTGTTATGTGTGGAGGCTGTCATGTGTGGAGGCTGTCATGTGTGGAGGCTGTCATGTGTGGAGGCTGTCATGTGTGGAGGCTGTCATGTGTGGAGGCTGTCAAGCGTGGAGGCTGTCAAGCGTGGAGGCTGTCAAGCGTGCAGGCTGTCAAGCGTGCAGGCTGTCAAGCGTGGAGGCTGTCAAGCGTGGAGGCTGTCAAGCGTGGAGGCTGTCAAGTGTTCATGATGGTCAAGAGTAAGAAGTGTCAGTCATCACACTACTGTTAACAAAGTGGTGAGTGTGGCCGGGCAGCTGTCAGCCCATGGTTGTCAACAGCAGACACGGGAGAGCAGACGAGGGTGAGGGGGGAGAGCAGACGAGGGTGAGAGCAGACGAGGGTGAGGGGGAGAGCAGACGAGGGTGAGGGGGAGAGCAGACGAGGGTGAGGGGTGAGAGCAGACGAGGGTGCGGGGGGGAGAGCAGACGAGGGTGAGGGGGGGAGAGCAGACGAGGGTGAGGGGGGAGAGCAGACGAGGGTGAGGGGGGAGAGCAGACGAGGGTGAGGGGGGGAGAGCGGACGAGGGTGAGGGGGGAGAGCGGGACGAGGGTGAGGGGGAGAGCGGGACGAGGGTGTGGGGGAGAGCGGACGAGGGTGAGGGGGGGAGTGCAGACGAGGGTGAGGGGGGGAGAGCAGACGAGGGTGAGGGGGGAAAGCAGACGAGGGTGAGGGGGGGAGAGCAGACGAGGGTGAGGGGGGGCAGCAGACGAGGGTGAGAGCAGACGCGGGTGTGGGGGAGAGCAGACGAGGGTGTGGGGGAGAGCAGACGAGGGTGTGGGGGAGAGCAGACGAGAGGGAGGGGAAACAGCAGACGAGGGTGAGGGGGAGAGCAGACGAGGGTATGGGGGAGAGCAGACGAGGGTGTGGGGGAGAGCAGACGAGAGGGAGGGGAAACAGCAGACGAGGGTGAGGGGGAGAGCAGACGAGGGTCTGTTCTCACGCAATCAGATGCGTGTATGGATGAAACTGCATTCTGATTGGTGCATTATGCGGAGGTTTCCACCTGAAGTGATATGCGGCCTGGCTTGCATGCCTGTGCTGCACATAGTACTGGTCCAACAGTAAAAATATTCTCAGAGAATGAAAATTCAATTTGTCAATGCAATCGGAAACATTGAAATGTAATCGTAACATATTTAGTATAGCGTGTGTTG